AGGCGCCGGGAGCAGGTGGTGCGGCCGGAGGGGGGTGGGAGGCGGGCGGAGGGGTGCGCCGCTGGCACGTCCTGGAGATAGGGAAGCAGGCGAAGGAGGTGCTGCGTTAATAAGCGAATGGCCCCAAGCCATCAGGGTGCATTTACGTAAGGCGGAGAACTTTAAAGAAGTTGTTTCTGGTAGAGGTAACTGCTAAGCTTTTTCTCTATTCGGTTGGGGGGGGAAAGTGGTTACGTATGTTTAATGTTTGGTGATATTTATGAAAGTTGGCCACTTTTTTATCTTGGGGCTTGGGAGAAAGACGAACAAAGACGTTTAAAACGCAAAATCCATTTCTTTGATGCACTCTACCAGAAAAGTGAGGAAGAATATGTTTCAACAATCGGAAGCACGGGCTTATTTGTAGCTGGGTGTTATTGACCGGAAGATGCATGCCGATTCTCTAGCAGGTGATCATGAACAAGCTCCTACCCCGAAGTCTCACTTTTCTTACCTGCAAAATTAGAGCCATGAAATCCTCTCCCTGTCTCATGGCTGGTTTGGAGGGTCTGGGCATATTTGAAGAACAGAGGAATGCAAGCACTGTCCGGCCTTGTGGGTGGAGTCCCCTGGGGAGCTAGCGGGGCTGCGTTCTCTGCTTGCTGCGGATGGTCTCCTCCACTCCACCGTCGTCATCTACCAAGGCCACCCTGTCCTGAAATTCAGCATATTTAACGCGAGTGCCACAGAAATCTTGAAACCTTGAAACCTATGCGCTCTGAACGAAGCTCTGTAATTTCCTTAGAAACCCTTGGTGTTTCCCCTCTCAGCAACCTGGTCAGCAGCCCCCCCACCCCCCACCCCAGCTCATTAGGCCCCAGGCTTCGTTTCCCTCGTACTTCTTGTCTGGTTGGCACTCCTGCCACGCTCTGGCTGCTGTGCAGGCCACCAGCGTCCCCCGCCTGGTTACCACAGTTACCTGCTTACTCCTGTCCCTTCCTCTGCCCCTGCCCCATATTGACAGTGCAACCTGATAGATGCTTTATTTTAACGTGTATCGGTTCATGTCACTCCCGTTTAAAACTTTTCAGGGCTTCCCCATTGCCCTGCAGATAAAGTCCTGTCTTCAATTCGCTGTATAAGGCCCTTCCTATTGTTGTTTCTGCTTTCGCCTTTGGTTGGATCTTTTCGCCTTGAGCGGCTCCTCCCTCCCGCCCCTGCGTTCCAGCCACCTGAGCTGCTCTGGGCTCACAACCTGCCCAGGGCTCTGGGCTCTCCCGGATGCACTGCAACGTGTCTCTGTTACCCCCAGGAGGTGGCTTCCTTCCTTCCCCAGAGTGAAAGTTAAAGGCGCCGTATCACCCTGCCCCCACAGTGCACCCCAGCATTCAATGCCATCATCTGCCTGCCCAAGTGCTGCACCCCACACTGGCCTCATCCTTGTTGCCAGTTTCAGGGTCCATCCTGGGGGGTCTGGCCGGAGCCCAATAATGCTGTAGCAACACACAGTGATGGCTGCAGAAAACCAAAAATAATGAGCAACCCTTAGGTGTCTGCCGACAGACCCATTTTATGTCACTGTATTTTTCAGTTTCAAATGCTCCCTCATACTGAACAAGTTTCTCTAACATAGCCTTTAAAAATAAAAATAAAAGAGCATAATAAATTTTAAACTAATAAGATGGCCTTGTCAACTATTAATGTAGCAGACACTGTGTGGTTTGTGAAATGAAATTCTGGAGCCCTGGCTCACTTTTTGATGGGTATGGGCAGAAATACCCGTTCAAGCCCAGACTCCAACTTTAACACTGAGCTGAAACCGATGCCTTACCACCCCAGGGAAGGAGTGGAGGGAAAGACTGTTAAGCCAAGGGTTCTAATTCCTTGTTTATTATTCATTTCTACTATAGCAATTACCCATGTGTGAAGAACTCGCTCAGGTACTGGCTTTTAAAAAAAAAAAAAAAAAAGAACCTCTTGGTACTCTTAATATTTTTCTTTTGTTTATAGCAGATGTCAGTGTAACAAATGGAAGTTCTCCTTTTCCTCCTGTTCACTCCCAGCTCGCAGTGCTAACATAGGTACCTTTAGATCTGCAGTCTTTTAAACACGGCCCTGCTACACACGCTCGGTAAACTTAAACAAGAATTCTTTGTTGAGCTACGTAATACTTAGAGGGGAGCATAGGGGAATAAATCTTAACTACTGCAAATTGTGTCCCTTCAGCCTTGCTCTGAAGGAGAGCCTTGTTGGGTTTCTCATTACTGTACAACTGCTCTGTTGACTGTACACTTTGGTGGGAGGGAGAAAAACAAAACAAGACAAAACAATGCAATCAAGGTCAGATTCTCTGTTTTCTAAAGAGCTCTCATTTCATGGAGTAACAAATACATAAGAGTTAACTATACAACTGCAATATGGTATACTGTATAAGGTCTTTCTTCTTAATGGATGAATACAAAATATCTGAGTTACTCCAATTAGAGTGAAAAGCATGTTCAAAGACACTGAGGGGAGAGGAAACTCATTACAGAATTCTGAAAGAGTAAAATTTTATCCATTTAGTACTTAGTAATCTAAGTACACGTGAAAGAAAAAAAAAATACTTTAAGAATACCAGAGAATAATCACTCCTTTTTCCTGAGCTTCTTCAATGCAATGAAGGTTGAAGAGGAAAGTGTCATGCTTTGTAGTTAGACAGTCCTGATTCATCCAAGCTGACCTTTGCAAGTTGCTTAACTTCTCTGAACTGAACCTTAATTTCTTATCTAAAGTGAGCGTAATACTATGTATGTGGTACAGGTATTATGCTCTTATGAAATCAAGAATGTAAAATATCTTCTTTCCTGCTTGCCCAGAAATAAACACTGGAGTATATGTCCACTAATGCCATTGTGAATTAGAACTGACATCACTTATACCAACTTTGTTTTCCCTTTGGGATATATTTATTTACCTTCCTCCAAGACCAGTGTTCTCAAAACTTTACTGCCAACATCATCATTTAAAACCACTTTACAAACAGCCCTCTGTTATCCAAATATTTACCTATTTATAAACTATAGACTGTACAACCATATTACTGTAGCATAGTATGGATGTTATAAAAAGGATACTAAAACAGAAATTTAAAGGTTGAGATGAAAAATTAGTAAAAAAAAAAAAAAAAAAAAAAAAGAATGGAGTTTAATTCAATAAGAAAAAAATAAAAGAGATACAGAAGTATGTACTTTGAACTAGAAAAAGATAACAAGGAATTAATATTTCTATCCTTTTGTGCTGTAATTAATATGAGATCCTATATTGACTTATTTGTCTAGTGAAAACAATATTAGAATCAGAAGAAATATGCATTCTAATTATTTACTGTTTCTACAGAAAAAAATGTCTCCAAGTATGTATCTTATCTGTTTATAGGACATGCCAAATGACTATTATAAACAGATGATAAAAGAAAAATAAGTGCTAGAGAAAATGTGTAGGCTTAAGTGAAGTTTAGAAAACACTTTAGGGAACCAGCAGTTAGCATAATGGCTATGTCGCTGGACTCCCACGTAGTCGACCACAGTTCGTGTCCTGGACCTGGTGGCTTAAAACTCAAGCTGGGCGCGTGTGCGTGCGTGCCCAAGATCCCAGGAGGAGAATGGACGAGAAGGGATTGCTGCGTGACCATCCCCCCTGGGGGGTGATTTCTCACTTTCTGTCTCTATGTCTCTCTCTGTCTAGCGAGTGCACGCGCCCTATAGCAAAAACCTCTCAAAAAAAAAAAAAAACACTTTAGACATTGTGATTTGGTGAAAAGTCCCACAAATACACTTTTCTTGGATTTTAACTGCATTTTTCACTTTCTTAAACCCTTTTTTTATCCTTGATTTTTTGTTTGTTTGTTTTTGAGATTTTTGCTAGAAGGGTACATGTGCTTTCTAGAGACAGACAGAGAGGGAAAGTGAGAACTCACCCCCAGGGGGAATGGCCACACAGCAATCCCTTCTCCGTTCTCCTCTTGAGATTTTCGAACATGTACGCACGCACACCTGGCATAATTTTCAGGCCTTCAGATCTGCGACTGGAAATGCGGTTGGCCGTGTGGGAGTCCAGCACCTTAGCTACCACACCACCTGCTGGCCCCCCAAACCTTTTTTAACAGGTCATTTTAAGACTATATCTGTGATGGAAATACATTTCAACCTTCCTGAAGCATGCAAAATCTAATTAGATGGCCACTTGAAAGAAACACACATTTTAGATGAGATATAAGACTACAATTTGCTATATTTGTTGCCTTTAGCAGAGCTTTGGAGTTAATTGGGCATTGAAAAGAAACTTCTAGTCTGGTAGAGTTTTTAATTTCACACCACCAGAAAGTTTATAAAAAAGAAAAAAAGTAGTCAAACTATCGGGACCAGCAGATAGCATAATGGTTATATTGGTGGACTCCCACATGGTCGACCACAATTTGAGTCCCGGACCCGGTGGCTTAAAACTCACACTGGGTGCATGTGCATGAGTACTCAAGATCCAGAGAGAAAAATGGAGAAGGGATTGCAATGTGACCATCCCTCTGGAGGGTAATGTTTTGCTTTCTGTCTCTGTGGCGATTACATACACCCTATAGCAAAAATCTCTCTAAAAAAAGAAAAGCTGTTGGGCCCAGCAGTTGGCATAATGGCTATGTCGCTGGACTCCCATGTAGTAGACCGTGGTTTGAGTCCCTGACCCAGTGGCTTCAACTCACACCAGGCACGTGTGCGTTATACTGACTGTTCCCAACTTATGATTATTGATAGCTTTTCTTTTTCTTTTTTCTTTTTTTTAAAGAGGTTTTACTATAGGGCACGTGTGCTCGCCAGAAAGACAGAGAGAGACAGAGAGACAGAAAGCGAGAAATCATCCCCCCAGGGGGGTGGCCATATCACAATTCCTTCTCCTCCATTTTTCTCTCAGGATCTTGGGAACAGTGAGTATAACGCACACGTGCCTGGTGTGAGTTGAAGCCACTAGGTCAGGGACTCAAACCACGGTCTACTACATGGGAGTCCAGCGACATAGCCAGTGACATAGCTATTATGCTAACTGCTGGTCCCAAGCCCTAATACACTTTTAAGTGAGCCTGCTCCCTCTGTCCCTCCACCCCCAGCACTTGCTCTCTCCAAAGGGAAGAAGGGAGGGAGAGAGAAAGCACTCCCTAGTGGGGCATGGTCACCTATAATCCCTTCCCCCCATTTCTTCATCCACTCAGGATTTTGGACACACACATGCACCCAGCATGTTTTCAAGCTACCAAGGCCAGGATTTGAACCATGCGGTCAGCCAAGTGGGCTCTGACTTCTTAAACCACCAGGCCATAGAGCCAGTGGGAGCCTCCATTCTTTGCAAGGGAAGGAGAGCTAGGTGTGCGGTCCTCCCAGCTGATTCTCTGCAGCCTTTTAACCAGCCCTACCAGCCAGCAGAGGAGGGGTCACAGGCCTGAGTATTCACCCTCACCCTTGGTCATTCTACCTCTGGAGTCTTGTTCTTTAGGATCCTAAACTTGGCCTTTTTTTTTTTTCTTTTTAAATTCGCTATAGGGTTTTGTGATCACTGGAGAGAGACAGAGATAGAAAGTGAGAGCACCCCCAAGGGTGATGACCACACCACCGTCCCTTCTCCACTCCCTTCTCAGGGTTTTGGGCATGTGCGCACTTGCACCTTGTGTGTTTCTCAAGCAGCTGCCTCAGGACTCAAACTGCACCGTCATGTGAATTCCAGCCACCCTAACCACCAAGCAAACTGGTTGGCCCAACTTTGACATTTTAAGGTTGTCACTTAGGGGCCAGCAGGTGGCATCATGGTTACAGTGCTGGACTCTGTCATATGTGTGACTGCGGTTCAAGTCCCAGAACTGGTGGCTTCGAAATCACTCCAGGTGTGTGTGTGTGCACACCCAAAATCCCAGGAGGAAAATGAATTGTGGCAGGGCCATCCCTGCTAGGGGTGATTTCTCACTTTCCCTCTTTTTCTCTCATCTCTGGTGAGCACATATGCCCTATGGCAAAATTTTAAAAAGTCACTTAAAAAATGCAGTTCTCCCTAGGAAGGCATACAGTAGGTGGCCCTTTAAGCTGACACCTAAATAGGGTCGTTGGAAAAGTCATGATATATTTTTCTACGCAAAAATGCATGGTGACTCGTCTGATGACCCAATAATTCTGCTCAACAGAGACTGTTACGATCCTACCGAGACCAAGGAAATGCACAGAATGGATCTGTAAGAGATGCAGGAAGGCTCAGAGACCAGGTGAAGTGGGGCCAGAGATGCTTTGACAGTCGCCTGGGGACAGTCTCTCTCTGGCTCTGGTTCTGTGCTGCTCTGGCATCGCGGCCCTGGGGTCCCAGCCACTCCTCGCAGGCTTTCGAGTCTGTTTCTCCAGCGCTACCCACACCCCTTGTATGCCGTGGGGTTCAGCTGAGTTCAGACCAGCTTGAGGGTGAATGTGAGTGCTGGGAGGAAAAGCAGTCTGGACACCAGGAAACAGAGTTCTTCGTTACTAAGTTCACACCCCGACAGGCATCAGTCTCCACTCCTGTCCAAGGAGGGGTAGAGACATCTGTCTTCTGGTCTGGGTCTCTCCCTTCCCTGATACGTCCCACCAGTTATTTTTACCACAATTCAGCCTCTGCCAGAGAGAGTCAAAAACCTAGCAGCCTCCAGAAGGTAGAAACAACCCAAAGGCCAGTCAGTGGATGAATAGATAAACAAAATGTGCTGTGGATTTACAAAGGAATATTATGGAGAAGGAAGTTTCGATGTGCTACATGAATGAAATGTGAAGACACTACCCTAAGTGAAATAAACCAGACACACACGCACAAATACCGTGTGATTCCACTTAAATGGGATACTTCATAGCTGAGAAATAGTTTACCAAGTGGTGGGAGAGATGAGGGGAGGGAGTCATTGTTTAATGGGTACAGAGTTTCAGTCTGGGATGATGAGAAAGTTCTGGAAAGGGTAAAGGTGGTAGTTGTGCAAGTGTGGAATATAATTAATGCCACTGAACCGTGCAATTACAAGTGGTTAAGATGGAGGCCAGGTGATGGCACAGAGGTAAAACTCAATGCTTTGCAAGGCTCACCCACAGGGGACAGTTCTGGATTTTCTGTGTGTGTGTGTGTGTGTGTGTGTGTGTGTGTGTGGTTTTTTTTTTGGTCTGTTTTTTGTTTTTTCTTTTTTTTCCCCAGAGACCTCCCTGAGTCCTCCGGGCAGGTATGTGCCCATGATCCAGGACTGGCTGAGAGTGGGAAGAGATGGCAGTGTCAAGATCCTAGGGGCGATGTCTGGCTGGCTGGCTGGCTCACCCATGGGGGAAAAAAAAAACTTTTTAAAAATAGTGGTTTTTAAGAACTATTTAATTTTATTTATCATTATTATTTGTATTATTTAATTTGATACAGGCATTCACTGGAGAGAGAGAAATAGGGAAAGTGAGAAAGCAAGCGGCCAGATCTGGGACTTGAACCATGGTCAGCCATGTGGGAGTCCATCACCCCAACCACTATACCACCTGCTGGCCCCAAGAAGGAGACTTTTATTTATTTATTTTTTAGACCGAGATTTTTGCTGTAGTGTGTGTGCTTGCCAGAGAGAAAGAGAGACAGCAAGAAATCACCCTCCCCCCAGGGGGATGGCCACGCTGCAGTCCCTTCTCCATTCTCCTCTCGGGAGTTTGGGCACACACGCACACGCGCCTGGCATGAATTTTAAGCCACCAAGTCGGGACTTGAACTGTGACTTTGTGGAAGTCCAGTGACATAATCTTTATGTCATCTGCCCCAAGAAGAAAACTTTTTAAAAAATGGTTGAAATGGCAAATGTTGCGTTACGTTTATTTTACTATAATAACAAGTCAAGCAAGCCTGGAAGCCCGCAGTGGGCACACTGGCTGGAGATCTGTTTTGAATAATCTGCCAAATGCTTTGCACTGACTTTTCTGTACAGCTGCCTGGGTGTACCCAGCCCCGGGCTCTCCCTGGAAGAGAGGACCCCTCTGTAACCCTCTGCAGAGGCTGCTCCACATTCTCTCACAAACACAGTCCGGGAGCTGGTCTGGTATCCACATCCCTCCAGCTCTCCCAAGCACAATTCTCCTTGCTCCCCCCCACCCCCGTCACCACCTAGAACTGTCACTGCAACTCCGAGTCTCACTCTCCGTGTTTACCAGGGACATTGCCTAAAATGGCCTGTTCAGAAGTGCAGCCGTGTGTGGCTCGGAACTGCAGTGCCCATCCTCTGTGTGTCTTTGCTCATAGGACACCTGCTCCCGAACCTTGTAAAAGATGCTCATTTCCTCAGTGTCTTCCTGAGCACCGGCTCCACCCTAATGCTGCCCCTCCCCATCTCCCTGTCTTCTGCACGGGCTCGGGAGCGTTGCTGGGGGTCAGTGGCCGTGGGCACTGGGACGCTGCATGTTGCTCTGATGTCTGCCTCCCAGGGAGAAGCTCCTCAGTCCCTTTCTACGAGTCTGTTGGTAACTCCCCCCCCCCACTCTTTGCTTTTTAAGTTGCCAGTGGGCCCGTGTACTCACCAGAAGGGAGAGACAGAGAGGAGGAGCCAGTATCCCCAATGGGGTGAGGTCATATCACGCTCCTTTTTCCTTCAACCTTCCTACCTTCAGGTTTGGGGAAGGCATGCACATGTGCCTGGCGTGTTTTTCAAGCCACTAGAGCCTGCATTCCAACCAGGGTCAGCCATGTGGGAAGCAGCTTGTACTCACTCTCGGCACTTACGCGCTGTACTAGGGGCTAGCCCACCTCTTCCGCTCTCTTAAGCTCACCTCCCCTGTTCTTTTTCATTTTTCCAGTTTGGGTTATAACTTTTATTGAGTTTATCCACCAAAGCGGATGTACTGTCAGTACAAAACCTAATGTTTGTTACTAAAACTTCTGCATCACAAAATCCAAACAAACAAACAAACAAAGCAATCAGTTCAATCAAATCTGCTACTCTGGGGTCAATAGCTTCTTTGAAGCCACAGTGACATTAAATATGGTTAAGACTCAGAATGCAGACGTTTGGTTGGTTGGAAAGCGAATTAAACTTCTAACTTGCTCAAATAGAATTACAAAGAGGCAACTTTGGATCTTTCACAGAGATCCCTTCCCCTGGAATCAGCCGGCATGGGCAGCTGTTAGAGCATTTAGGGTCCTGAGATGGAATAGTAGGCAGCCCAGCATGCTTAGACAGCCTTCTTGTCCCGTCTTCCCAGTCAGAGCGACGCAGAGGTGTGGAACGAGGAGGGCCAGCAATCGGAGCCTTGATGAGGGAGCCAATTCCTCATCTCCAGAATGGCAAGCTGCAAGTGACGACTAATACGCTGCTTTACCCTTACGCCTTCTGCACTTCCTGCCAATTGGGGCACCTCTGCGGGGAGGTACTCCAGGATCGCAGCACTATACTCGGGAACAGTCACGCCCACACCTGTGTCCCGGGCTGGTGGTCCTAGATCTCGGGCGTAGATGACTGCGGCCCACCGGAAGCTGTAGGCTGACTCCTTGCGAGCGGGAAACCGCCTTTGTCTTGGCCTTTCCGGAGTCCCAACCTCACCACAAGCAGCTTCGAATTCTGCTGATCCTTGCACAGGCGAGGTGCAAAACCGGCTCCTCAGACACAACGAGATGCACGGCCTCGTCGGGGCACCGTGATTCAACCTGCCTAAACTCACTCTCTTTAAGCCTCTTTCCGCAGCACTTCAGGCGGCTCCTGACGCAGTGTGATGGACTCCGTCTTGTCATGCTCTGGTGTGGTTCTGCGGGAACACGCTGCACCCTCGTTCCACGTTTCCGCACCAGTAGACCCCACTGCCTGGCCACCCCGTCTCTCCTCCTCTTTGTTTGACAAGCTCCTGTCTGTTCTTCAGGTCTCGGCTGAGACCTCCACTCTAAGAAAGCATTTCCTGGTCACCAGCTTGGTCTGCAGGAGGTGTGGTTATGCCCACAGCACCTTCTTCCTGCATCATGACAGTATTGCAGTTGCCCCAGATGTGAGCCTCTGGAAGGCAAGGACACACCCACCAGCATGTTGTTCAAGCCACCGGACCCAGGACTCGAACTGCAGTCAGTCAGGCCTTAACCTCCACCCCACCTGCTGGTGCCTACTGACTGACTATATTTTAAGATGGTATGTTTAGAGGTTTGGTCTAATTGATAATAACTTGACTTATCATTTTATTTCTGAGATCTTATTATATTCTTATAAGTATCAAGACGTTACTTTTTATATTATCTTCCCCCTCCTTTGGCTAGTTACTTTCACAGCTTATCAATTAGAATGCGGTTAGCTGCAAATAACAGAAAATCTTGAAAAAGTACTAGCATAAACAAAGTAGAACTTTCACCTCAGCCCTGCACAAGGACAAGGACAGAGTGCATATCTGATCATGTCTCTCCTCCAGGTCTAAGGATCAATCTCCTTTCAGCTCTCCTCCTGCCCACAGTGTGCCACGCTGTCTTGGTTGTCTAAAACAGTCTAGGCTCGGACTCAAAGAGCAGGCTAGGGGAAAGAACGCAGACAGGTTGGGGGGGGTAGCCGCGGGCATGGGGGTTAAGGTGGTTGGATCCCACATGGCCAGCTGTGTGGTTCAAGCCTTGGGCCTGATAGCTCGAAAAACTCATGGGCGCATGTGCATGAATGCCTAAAATCCTGAGTGGAGGGAGAGATGAAGGGAAAGGGACTACGACATAGCCATCCCCCATGAGAGGTACTTTCTCTCTCTCCCCGGCAAGCACATACGCCCTCTAATATAGTTTCAAAATGAAGAAGGGGAACCAGCAGTTAGTGTAATGGCTATGTCGCTGGACTCCCATGTAGTTGACCATGGTTCGCATCCTGGACCCGGTGACTTAAAACTCATGCCGGGCACGTGTGCGTGTGTGCCCAAGATCCCAAGAGGAGAATGGAGGAGAAGGGATTGCGGCGTGACCATCACCCCTGGGGGGTGATTTCTCACTTTCTGTCTCTCTGTCTCTCTCTGTCTGTCTGGCGAGCGCACGTGCCCTATAGCGAAAATCTCTCCAAAAAAAAAAAAAAAAAAAAAGGGGGCAGAGGGCAGGTGCCAACTTTCTAAGAAGTTCCCCCAAAGCTTACAATCATTATTTTTTCTTTTTTTGGAGAGGTTTTTGCTATAGGGCGTGTACACTCACCACAGAGACAGAGAGAGACATAGAGACAAGAAGTGAGAAATCACCCCCTGGGGGGATGGCCACGCCACAATCCCTTCTCCTCTATTCTCCTCTCGGGATCTTGGGCATGCACACACATGCACCGGGCATGAGTTTAAGCCACCGGGTCCGGGACTCGAACTGTAGTCAACTACGTGGGAGTCCAGCGACATAGCCATTACGCTAACTGCTGGTCCCACATCCATTATTTTTGCTTGCACACTATTGGGCCAACTTAATCATCTCTAGCTGCAAGGGAGGTTGAGACATAGTCTTTATTTTTGGGAGCCGTGTACCCAATTAAAAATGTTAGCAATGTGGAAGAATAGGAGTGATAAATATTGGGGGATAAAAAGAAGGGTAGATAGGTCAAGCTTGCATTGATTTATTATTTTTAATAATTACTTATTTATTTAATTTTATTTGTTATTATTTTTAATTTGACCAGAGAGAGAAAAAGGGAAAGTGAGAAAGTAAGTCGCCAGGTCCAGGACTTGAACTGTGGTTGTAGGAGTCCAGCACCACAACTATCGTGCCACCTGCTGGCCCCCAAATCTGCATTTTAGAAGACATATAAATATGATGCCATCGTAATTCAGATAATTCGATTTCAAGTGTATACTTCCGCTTAGCCTCCTTGGTCAGAAGGTCATGACGTTTTGGGGCCAGTGGTAGCACAGTGGTACACGCAGCGCTCAGAGGCTGGCCCGCGGAAGGCGCGTCCAGGTGTGTATCTGGGAGCTCCCTGAGTATGCCAGGCACATGCGCTCCGTGATCCAGGGCTGGCTGAGGCTGGGAGTTGCTGGCTCGCTCTCTCTTTCTCACTCATGAAAACAAACTTAAATAAAAAATAAAAAGAAGAAAAGGAAAAAGGAAAAGAGAAGGGCTAGCTGGTGGCGTGGTGGTTAAGGCAGCTGGATCCCACATGGCCGACTGTATGCTTCGAGTCCTGGACCCAGGCTTGATAAATAGCCCTGGCATGGACGTGCGAGCGCACAAAGTCCCTGAAGGAGAAACAGAGAAGGGCCTGTGGCGTGACCGTTCCTCACGGGGGTGTTTTCTCGCTTGCCCTCTCTCACTCTCTCTACGCCTCTCCTTGGCGAGGGCACGTGCCCTCTAGCAAATTGAAAAGGGAGAGAGTCCTCACGTTCAGACTCAGTGGTTTTTACTCCAGGTGAGTAGCCACACTGCCACAGTTTTCTTCTCATTCTCCCCTCTCCTCCTCTGTCAGATAATGGGCCGCCTTGTCTTTAGGACCAGGTTCAGAGAGGGGCAAGGAGAATGGGAATGGCTATACATAGAAGGGCTCACTAATTACAGTGCAAAGAAAGGCATTCACATTCAAACACTTTCCTTTCTGACCCGCCTGTCATGGCTGAATCGCGTTGTCCTCTGTTTCCCTCCAGTTTCTCGGGCACAGTCACAGCTCGGTGCAGCAGGGGCCTGCAGTTCCACCCCGGGCAGCTGGAGGGCTCCATTCCACCACGGGCCACTGTGGAGGCCCTTCTCCAATCACCTAAGAGGAGGTGTCTTCAAAGGCCACAGAGCCATCTCCACGACAGGACAGTCCCGCTGCCACCTGCCCATTGTGGGACCCAGCCTGCATGTGTAGAACCTGCTCTAGCTTGTAACTTTTCCTGTCCTTGTCATCCACCTGCCACATGCCAAGCTCGTGGTTCACCTCTTCTTCCTGGTAATCTCATCGCCATACCTCTCTGCGCTCTCCCTTCCCCAGCTGATCATTTCTCCTTCCACTCTTCCTCCCTCATAGCTTCCTCCATGGTATCTTGGGAAATCCCAGTTCCTCTCTTGGCTTTGTCCTGTTTTCATTCACCAAACCCATTCCACTGGAAGCCAACTCCCCCGTCCAGGAGCTCTGATCTCGGTCTGCCCTCCGTCTCTCCTCCTTGGCTCCTGCCTCTGCATCTTCTAATCTGCATCTTGGTGGGCTGCTCCCTCTCCTCCTGCAGCTGGATTGGCAAGAGCCCCCTGACTTTGAAACAGGGCCCCCTTGTCTTTGCAGCTCCATGCCTTCCCCTCCTTTCATCACCAAATAAGGAAATGCACAGAATGCACGGCTTCCTTTGCTTCCCCACCGCTGCTGCTCATTCCTTGTCGTCTGTTACACACGCCCATCTTTATGCAACTAGCATGAGGACATCATCAGCGACCTCCTCAGTCCCACATCTGACGAAGGCGCCAGACTCCGTGTTCACCACACGGCACTGTTGCCATTGCCCTTTCATCGGAATCTTCTCTCCACTCTTCCACACCACGTGCCCGGTTCTTTCCATCTGTCTTATGGTCCTTCTGTTCTGTAATGAAACAGTGACCCTGGGCCAGCCGGGGAGTGTGGTGGTGAAGGCGGCTGGAGCCCACATGGCCGACTGTGTAGTTGGAGTCCCAGACATGGCAGCGTGGAAAACGCGCTGGGACTGTGTGTGCCGCCCAAAACCCTGGGGGGAGCGTGGAGGAGAAGGGGTTGCAGCATCATCATCATTCTCTCTCTCTCTCTCAAGTGCATATGCCCTGTAGCAAAACTACAAGAGAAAAGAAAGAGAGAGAGAAAGAAATGATACTAATAGTAAACACCCAGGAGCCCTCACATTGTGTCAGGCAGAGTGTAAAATGTAAGGTGCTTTACATGCATTCTTTAACTTGTATAATGACTCTAAGCAGTAAATGCAATGTTTTTATATTGCCAGAAAGCACTTGTGCTCATATGAGAGAGACAGAGAGAGAAAGAGACAGTATCTCCCAATGGGGCATGGTCACGCTACAATCTCTTTTCTTCATTCTTCCTTCCCATCACGATTTCAGCAGGCATTTCACATGCGGGGCTGGACTGGAACTGCCATCGGCCATGTGGGGTCCGGCTCCCTTCATCATGTGCTACGGGCCAGCCCAGCCAGTAGATGCAGCTATCATTCTACTCTACAGATGAGAACACTGAGACTTGGAGGCTTACAGAGGTAAGTGAAATGCTCAAGATGATAAAGCAAGAGTTAGAGCTGGACTCGAACCCAGGTTTATCAGAATCCAAAGCAGATTTTTGCCAGCAGAACCTACTGCTTCTATTCTAGAAACCTGTTGTTCCTCTTTTCCTGATTTGACCTCAAATACGAGACTTCCCCAGGGCTCAGTCCTGGACTAACTGCTCACCTGTTTATAGACATGTAGCTTAACAGGAAAGTATTGGACTTTCATGGGATGAATTCCCTCCTTTTATTTTTTATTTTTTTTAATTTTAGCATTTTTTTAAAAGAGGTTTTTGCTATAGAATGTGTGCACTTGCTGGAAAGACAGAGACAGAAAGACAGTAAGCAAAAAATCCCCCCCACCCCCCCGCACCCCACCCCCGGGGATGGCCACGCCGCAGTCCCTTCTCCTCTATTCTCTTGGGATCTTGGGTACGCACATGTGCCCAGTGTGAGTTTAAGCCACCAGGTCCAGGACTCGACCATGGTAGACCATGTGGGAGTCCAGCAATATAGCCATTACGCCATCTGCTGGTCCCGGCATGGACATTTTTAAAGCGTACAAAGTAGAGAGAATTGTGCAAAGACAGCCATGCTACTCTCAACCCTGTCTGATTGTTAATCAGCCCAGCAATCATTAATTCATGACAACTGATTTCACCTGGACCCCACCATCCCCTTCCCTCCACCTCACTGGGCTATTTTAAAACAAATCACTGAAATACCAGTTCACCTGTAAATATTTCATTATATTGGATCGACAGGAAAGTTATGACACAGTTTTACTTAGAAAAATGTGTCATGACTTTCCCGATGACCTAATTGATCTTAAAAATATAAGAACTTGTTAAAAAAAGAGCCTTAACTACAAAAGTACTAATATACCTAAAACTTATAAAGAATTTCTTAATATCAGCAAATACCTAGTCAAATTCAATTTCCTCAATTGTTTCAATTTTTTGTTATGGTTGATTTGTTCAGATTAGGATCCAAATAAGATTCATAACTCACTTGATTGATCCGGCTCCTTTTTTATTTTATTATTATTTTGTGTGTGTGTGTGTGTGTGTGTGTGTGTGTGAGAGTTTTGTTATAGGGCACTTGTGCTCACTGGAGGGACAGAGAGACAGAAACTGAGAAATCACACCCCAGGGCAGATGACCACACCCTAATCCTTCTCCTCCATTTTTCTCTTGGGATTTTGGGCATACACGCACACATGCCTGACATGAATTTCAGGCCTCCACGTCCAGGACTCAAACTGCGGCTGGCCATGTGGGAGTTCAGTGACATAACCATCATGCCATCTGCTGGTCCTGAGCTGGCTCTTTAAGTCTCTTTAAAATTTCAGATTTTCTGTCCTTCTTTTACAATTTATTTTCTTTTTTCTTGCAATCGATGAGTTGAAAACACCAGATTGCTTGCATTGTGTAATAGGCCCCTTCTGGTCTTTGCTGGTCAAATCTCTGGGGTGTTGTGAAACATATCAATTGTCTTCAAATTTGCGGGTAACTGGCAGTCGCATTTAGAGGCTGGATTTGGTTCATTTTAGAAGATGTCTGTGGTTGGGACCAGCAGTTGGCATAATGGCTATGTCGCTGAACTTCCATGTAGTTGATCTTGGTTTGAGTCTTGGGCCTGGCAGCTTAAACTCACCCCGGGCGTGTGTGCGTGCATGCCCAAGATCCCAAGAGGAGAATGGAGGAGAAGGGATTGCGGTGTGGCCATTCCCTTCCCTCCTGGGGGTGTGATTTCTCACTTTCCATCTCTCCATCTCTTTCGGGGGAGAGCACGTGACCTATAGCAAAAACCTCTCCAAAAAAAAAAAAAAAAAAAAGTCTGAGATAATGCTATGCTCTCACAACAAAATCCAGATTACTTTGACGATAGTCAGCTTGCTTCCTCTTTGGCTAACAGAGACCATTTAACCTGGATGTTCTGCTGTCATCACAACACCGAGGGCGTAGAGCAAACTCACCCTCTCTCCCCAGGTCCGCTGTCGCTCCTGGCCTCAGTGCCGCCGTCTTGCATTGTCCTTTTAAATCACCTGGACTGCTAGTCTCAGAATCACCTCCGCTTTCCTCAGCCCCAGCGCATAGGCACGACGACCTGACAGTTCTTTCTCTTTCTTTACTTCTTTTCTTTTTCCTTTTTTTTTAAGATTTTTGCCATAGAGCATGTGTGCTGGGATGTGGGAGTGAGAAGTCACCTTTCCCGAGAGGATGGCCACACCACAAATCCCTTCTCCAAGCTCCTCTCAGGATTTTGGGCACAGACGCACACATGATTGGTGTTTTTTTAAGCCGCTGGGCCAGGGACTCAAATTACGGACTTGGCCATGTGGAATCCAGGGCCTTAGCCACTATGCTGCCCGTTGGCCCAAACAATTCTACTTTTTTTAAAAAAAAATTTAACAATTTTTTTTTTTCAGAGATGATATGCACTCACCAGAGAGAGCTGGAGAGACAGAGAGAAAGGGAGGGAGAAGGCACCCCACAATGGGGCAGGAACACGCCCCAACCCCACCTCCGTTCTCTGTTCAGTCAGGATTCTGGCACGCATGCACATGTAGCCAGCATATTTTCGGGCCCAAGGCCAAGATTCAAACCATGTTTGGCCATATGGAATCCAGCTTCCTTAATCATCAGGCCATGAGCCTGCTTCCAAGTTTTCTTCTGTAGAGTTTAGCGTCTTCCCCTTTTAATTCTCACGCTCAGTCCCTAGCATAGGCTCTCAAAATATTGCAGTAACCTCCCACTGGTGTCCTTCTTTTTTTTTTTTTTTTGGTCCCCCCATTCACTGCTACTTGATGGTTCC